CCCCAAAACCCCAAAACCCCAAAACCCCTAAATGCTAATATAGCGCAAATAAAAAGCTTGTTTGAAGTAAAATTAATAATAATTTAGTATTCCCGCTCTTGCTAAACGATGTTAAGTTCAAATTAATTGAAAATTAAGCCTTTCACTGTGATTGTAGCAGCTGCTAAAAATGAAGGTATTGGCTTTAAAGGAGACCTACCTTGGCCTAAAATTCCTAAAGAAATGAAGCATTTTGTAAATGTGACCACTACAAAAGAACCTCTTGGCTTTTCTATGGGAGAATTGGTTGGAAAAGACTGTTTTTTCCAAAACAATTTCAAATTTGCTACCTCTCCCGTCTCAGATAAAATCAATGCGGTAATTATGGGAAGAAAGACTTGGGATTCAATCCCACTTAAGTTCAGACCACTTTAGAAAAGAATGAACGTTATCTTGACAAATCAGACTAATCTTGAGGACACAAATGACGAGAATGGTTTGATTCAGGTTTTTAATGACTTCTAAGTTGCCCTCGAGAATCTCTCAATGAATCCAAGGATCAATGAAATTTTCGTTATTGGTGGTAGCACTGTCTATGATTTGGCTATCAACAAGTACACTGAGTTCTGCAAGCTAATTATCAAAACCAGAATCAATCGTGACTATGAATGTGATACATTCATGCCAAAAATTGATGAGGAGAATACCTACTCAAAAATATACATTTCCCAAACCCATTAGCACGATGACATCACATTTGATTATTGCTTCATTGGAAATAAAAAAATGCTATAACACAAGCCTGAGTTAATGCCAACAAGACTAATGTCAAAGTACAAGAAGCATCCAGAGATGTAATATCTTGAGATCATCAAGGACATCATCGAAACTGGAAGCGAAAAAGCTGATAGAACAGGTGTTGGAATTATCGGTAAATTTGGATATCAAATGAAATTTGATCTTGAGGAGAGTTTCCCAATTTTAACTACTAAAGATGTATTCTGGAGAGGTGTAGCTGAAGAGCTAATCTGGTTTGTTAAAGGAGACACTAATGCAAAAAATCTTAGTGATAAGAAAATAAAGATCTGGGATGGTAATGCTTCAAGATAGTTCTTAGATGGAATTGGCTTGAAAGAAAGAGAGGAATGGGACCTTGGGCCAGTCTATGGCTTTTAATGGAGACATTTCGGAGCTGCATACGACACTATGCATTCTGATTATACTAATTAAGGATTCGATCAACTAGCTGACGTAATCAATTAAATTAAGAACAATCCAACTAGCAGAAGAATCCTGATGAGCGCCTGGAATGCAGCAGATTTAAAGAAAATGGCTCTTCCTCCTTGTCATATATTAGCTTAATTCTACGTTACCGCTGACTAAAAACTATCCTGCCAGATGTATTAAAGATCATGTGATATGGGTCTTGGTGTTCCTTTCAATATTGCTAGCTACTCCTTATTGACTTGCATGCTGGCTTAAGTATGCGGTCTTAAGAGAGGTGAATTCATCCACGTCCTTGGTGACGCACATGTTTATAAAAATCATGTTGAACCTTTGTAAGAGTAGTTGAAGAGATATCCCTATCCATTCCCTTAATTATTACTGAACCCAGATGTCACTGATATCGAGCAGTTCAAATTCTCAGATTTCAAACTAATAAACTATACTCATCATCCTAGAATCAAGATGGAAATGGCTGTATGAAATTGAAAGTTACCTTTAGAATATAATATAATAGCAAGTTAATATTTTTACTAATGATCTTAATTACAAATATATTCTCAAAAATTCAATTTAAGTATGTGTCATTTTAGACCTCATTTTATTCCATCAGAATCTTCCTCATCACTCTCTGACTGAATAACCCCTAGTTTTTATTTATTTATCAACTTGTCTTGCTTGAGAACAAGCTTGACAACATAGGGGTCCATCTCTGTAATATTTGGACTAAGTTCAATAAGTTCCTTGATTTTTTTCTTTATCTCCACTCTATTGCCATCAATTAATTTATTAAGTTTGACTTAATCTCCCTCAACTATTGCTAGTAGATTTTTTCTTGGGAGTCTTATCATATTATCTCCATAGCTAATCCACAGCTTGCTACTTTATTGTTTAATTTCACCTCTTCTAAAAGCTCCCAGACATTCTCTATTATGATTTCTCTTCCTGTCATATTCAATCATTTCCTATTTTAGATTCATTATTTCCTCTGCTAATTTTTCTATTTTAACTAGTCTCTTCATAGTTTCTTGCATATCTGCTGAAATAATATTCTCAGCATTACCTAAGTAGTTCATTGACATTTATATAAGATAATTAATTAACTTTCCATAAAAATTGCAATAAGTGTTTGATGGGGTTTTGGGGTTTTGGGGAGATCGGAAGAGC